GGGGAGAGAAAGAGAAGGAAAGGGGAAAAAAAAGATGTTTTGCAGTTGTTAGGTTTGAATTTTAGCTCGCCGCTCATCAAACGTAGAATCTAGATGAACTAGATGTAGATCTAGGCTCAAATAATGGGGTGGGAACTGCCGAAAAAGCACCAATACTTCTCTGCCCTGCACTCACTTCTCATCTGTCAGCTAGCTGCTTCTTTTTCAAATTTATATTCGATCTAGATCTAGATCTATCGTGTAGAATCTAGGCCTCCAAGATTTAGATTCTAGATCTAGATTTAGATAGCTGAAAGATAGCAGTAAGAAGGAGCCAAGGAGTAGGCTAGCAGAAGAAAGGCTGCAGAAAGAGTCAGGAGCCCACAGGAAGGAGGTGAGGGGGTGAGGGCAGATATAGTGAAGGTGACAGATCATTGTCAGAGAGCAGGAAAGGAGGTGGAAGGTGAACATTTTAGAGTAGAAAATTTTCCCCATCGCTTTCTGGATTTGAACCCAGGACCTATTGAATGAGAGGCAAACACCATAACCTCTCGACCATGAAAGCCCTTAATCTGGGGTTTAATGGTTTAAATTTATAGATTAATGAGAAAACAAGGAAATTAGCGTAGAGGTAGAGTCTTTATCGGGTGAAACCATTTGCCCCCATTCAAATTATCTGTTGCGTCTTCATCATATCTTTTGAATTCTAAGCAAGACATAAATTTCATATTATATATAAAATCTGAGATGAGAGAGGTCAAGGGCTTCCATAGAGTATTCAGGTCATTTTGAAGGTTGGCTGTGTTTGTCAAACTCACATACATTGCAGTTGCAAGTGAGCTCTGAGACAGCTGTGCCTGTGCAGAATGGCTATGGTTAACATTGCTTTGTGTAGCGAAGACTTGAAAGTACATTTTTGCATACTGTACTGTTAACTCAATTATATTTGTTATAACACGTGTGTATCCCTTTCGTCTGTTATTCATTTTTCTGAACTATCACCCAAATACGAGCACCAGAAACTTCACTTAGTTTTTAAAAAGGTTCTTTTCTTTGACTTTGTTTTGTCTCTGAGTGAAGCACTGTGTGGGTGGTTGGCGGGTGCTCTGGTGTGGTGTGTTCCTTCTTTCCTATCAAACATCTATCGTCCTTATCTCCCCTTCTTTTTTATATGTTTGTTTCTCTCTTGTAACACCTCTAATATTGTGGTGCTCATATATAACCTTATGCAGTTGCGAGCACCTTAAAACGTCTACTAAAACTAAAACTAAACAGCACTGACTGTACAGACACTTATCAGCAAAATATCACTAACCAACAAAAGCATACCAAAAAAAGAGAAATTGTGAAAAATTTCATTAATTACTGTGAGAAACAGATGAAGAAATAAAGGTGGGAAAAAAGAAAGGTCATGAGAGTTGAAGAAAAGAAAAAGAAGAACAGGAGAGATTAGCGTAAAGATTTTTATATTGAGGAGGGGAGGGAGGGGGAAAAGGGATAGAAAGAGGAAGGAAATGGAGAATGATAGAATATTCCCAAAGAAAGATGCGAGCATGAGGATTACATTTATTGAAGAAAAGTAGGGACTTGATGGCTTGAAATTGGAAACGAAAAAGTACTGTTACCAAGTTTGTCTCATCTGCTCCTCAAGGTCTAGAGTATATTATAATAGTATATTGTTCGTACTATGGCGGTAAAGATTCTCATATTCTGTTATTTAGAAAAAAAGGCAAAATTGTATTAACCCTCTAGGACTGTCCCTATTATATTGGTAATGTCAGAGTTAAGAAGTAAGAGTCATGGTGGTACATGGCAAGAACACATACAGTGGAGTCCACTTATAACGAGTCCTGAAATAACGAGGTCTGTTATAAAGACACTATTCTAAAACCCCGTTTTTTCCCTTTATCTTTGTAAGTAAAATACTACTAAAAAGCAATCAAACACGCGAGTCGGCTATAGCGGAATATTACTGCTGCTGTGCATAGGCTTCACCAGTTGAGAAAGTTGTTGGTGATCTAGCAAAACTAAGAATGGGAGAGCCCACATGTGCCAACAATGAGTAGGCCTGGGCGAATGAGTGGTGAGGGTGTGGCCTGCGCAGACAAGCAGAACGCATCGCGTGATAGTCCAGCCTAGTCTAGATATTATCCAGGCCTACCATGCCTCTTGCTTCTCCGATGCGGGGATGGAGAGGTCGTAGTGCTGTGATGGATAGAGCGAATGTGTGACGTGAGCAAGCAGACGGAACGTACCGTATCACAAAGTGTGGTGGGGTGGGGGACAACACAGCGGGGTGAGTTAGCCTAGAGCCTTTTCTTTGTGATCGCCAACGCCGAGCTGTCAACATCGCTAGCACTAAGATTAGAGAAAGAAACCTGATTCTATTTTTTATCAAATAAGACCTCGAGGTCATGTTGAACATAATCATCATCAGGGGAGATAAAAAAAATAAATAAACAGAGAACACGAAACTCGTAGATTAGGCGTACATTACTTTTTCCCTTGAATTTATTACCGGATCCCTTATAACGAGAATCCTGCAATAATGGACATTTCACACTGGTCCCTTCCCTCTGGCTATAACAGGATTCCACTGAATATATATATACATCTCTCCGAAACAAATTCTTTAATAATCATTCATCATTGCTCTGTTTCATATTTTGTGAATTACAGCTTCATATTGACGGGAGGCAGTGATGGTAAAGTTTGCATCTGGGAAGGTCAAGATGACACCGATACTACAACAGTTACTGTTGGAGACAGAATCTTTGCTCTGGCATTCCAGGTTCATAGTTTGATAACTCTCTGTACAAATTCTTTCAGTGTTGTTGATTTCATTTGCATGCATGGAAATTAGAAGTTGGAACTAGTATTTTTTAAATACCACCTCTGTAATAAGTTTTTAAATATTATAACTGGTCCTCTGATGATTTTCACATTTAAATTGTATTTTAGATTTTTAAGAATTACTCTAGATATATTGTGACTATCAATTCCCTCATGAATTTAGGAAATGAGAAACAGGTGTCATAATCACATAGGTTTGACAGTTTGTGTGTAAGTGAACAAACAAAAGACTGCATCTTGAAATCAGTGAATTGAAATGCTTTGAAGTTGAGTTGCCAAAAACCGTGAAACAGTTTCAGAATCATGCAGAGAAAAACCATCGACTATGAATTTCTTGATTTTTTTCTTTTCTTTTTTTCAACTTTTGCAACTGACATTTTGCTTCATGGAATGACATGGCATTTAAATATTTTTCAATGAAAGTCAAATTTTCAAATAATGACTTTGATTCTACTTTCACCAGGGAGGACGATTTTTCACTGCTACTGAAGAAAACACTATCCGTATCCACACATTTCCTGATGGAGTTGGGGACGGAATGGTTACTCGTTTTACAGCACCTGCGAGACACATGGACATTGCTGAGGATGGAGCTATGCTCGTGGCTGGATCAGAGTAAGTCTTAAGATCTCCTTTTTTTTATTTTTCAGGTTTTCAGTAATTTCAAACCACATTGTTTTTGTGAGTGAGAGTAGTTTTGCATCCTTGTCCTTTTTAATTTGATTTTGGAGACACAGGTTTAGAGACAGTGAGTGCAAATCTTGATCATGCATTGCTAGAGTATTTAAGTCACAAAAGCAAGAAAGAGGCATTTGAGTGCTTGTGAGCAAATTTGAGAGGAATCTTATGGAGATTTCTTTTTTGCGGGAGAGAAGTTCTCTAATATTGGGTTCCACATGTTCTACTTCCTACTTTGTTGATTAATCCTATTTATTACATGTTCTTATGACTGAACAATCTTAAAAGTACCTTGTCAAAGATGTTTTTCATTTATGGTACTCACGTTATATCTAACTGCGTGTACATTATTCTATTAAAAGCAATGTCTGTGCTTTAGGTAGACTTGACTAGAAAGCAAAAGTTTTGTTCCATGATAAAAAAGCTGAACCGATTCAGAGTTGACTATATTTTTGTATAGTGGGGTACTTAAGTTTTCTGTACTGTTATGTCCTAACAGAGATAGTTATTTTCTTGGGATCTGCCATGGACGATGGTCTGATATAATGCATGTTATACAGTGGAGTCCAAAAGAAACTTGAAAATGTAATCACCCAATTATTGTATTATATAGCCTTGCACTAAACACTTTTGCAGCATACAAATTTAAAGCTGAATAAATTCTGCATCGTCTGACACCTTAATTTTTCATTGATATGGTCACTCAAAATTGGCCGTAAAAAAATTTTTCGGTGCAAAATTGCATGAAAATCAAAGAAACGTAAAGTGTATTTGCGCATGTATTGAGGTGCATCAACATTGGTGGAAGGGACTTGTATTGGATATCAGATGAAAAGAGAATAGTATTGTCTCTGCAATAAGCAGCTGATATTTTTGAACAGATTAGAAAACAGAGCTGCCACAAATACCACGCTAAACATGGACTTGACATTACATGTGCCCATTAGTATTTGTTTTTGTTTTGGAGCTATTGGTTTTGTGCTATTGGTTTCGTGTAGAGCACGAAACCTTTTTCGCACATGGACTGTGTTAGTTAGATTTTGGGCATAATCATCTGTCAGTGAGGACCTGAGGCCAGGAAACTGCCATAGGTTTGGGGCGGTCTGGGGTGGAATGAGCAAAACCGCCCACGTGAGAATCACCGGATGGCTTGGTTTATTTGACAGCATCGCGCAAGCGATGGAACATCATAATGTCTTACTCGTACATTTGTCATGGTGTCATTTTAGTAGACATCTCCATGCACAGCAAAGCACTTTCTCACACGGCCAGTGCCACTAGACAATTCTCGGAAAACCAAATTGTATCAACAATGGAGTAGTCACCAGTAAATAATAGCCCTGATTTGAATCCTACAGATAAGTAAGTGAAGCCCCATGAAACAGCAGCTGAAGAAAGCGACTTTGCTCCCAATTCAGACCCTTTGTATGCAACTCTCTGTGATATCTGGGAGGAAATGACAGATAATTATGTCCAACATTTAATAGAATGGATTCTCTTCACAAAACCAATGTTTCCTAAGCAAAATAACAATGAGCACATTTAATGTGAAGTCCAAGTTTTGCATGGTGTTGTGAATTGCTCTGCTTTCCGTTTTGTTTGAAACTATCGTAAAAAAATATTGTTATTTGAGAGACAAAATTAAAATTCTCCATTTCTTGGGTATGCAATGTATGTCCATTCGATCAATATTGATGCTCCTCAATATATGCGCAAAGACAATTTTATGTTTATTTGATTTCGCACAATTTTGGCAAACCTGTATTTTCAAGGTCAATTTTGGGTGACCATATCGAGGGTGTCACTTAAACATAGGTGAAATATTAATGTCAGATGATGCAGAATTTATTTAGCTTTAAATTGGCATGATGCATGAGTGAGTAGTGCAAGGCTTTAACATGATAACTAGGTGATTACATTTTCAAGTTTCTTTTGGACACCACTATATATTAACAGGAATAAATTTGACTGAAAATGAATGCTCTGCTTTTTGTGTTCAGATTTTCTTTGTATTGCTGACTTCTTGGATGGGACTTTCATTTTTTTCTTGACCCCTTTGATTTTTTAGATTTTGTAAAAAGTCAGTTTCCTGTGGTAAGACTTAGCTATGTTAATGCAGATTTTGTTTTATCCTTTTTTCTAATATCCATTTAGTAGTGCTGTGCGATTTTGAGGAAACAAAAATTCGTCTAAGCTTCGAAGCGTGAGCTCACTATTCACACTATTCGAATACCTCTGTTGATTGTTTTTTTTTCTTGTATATATGATAGGTCCAGACCTAACTTCTGCTATTCAACATTCACTAACTATTCACATCGCCGTCGAATGGTTTTTTTCTTATATACGATCAGACCATATCTAACTTCCGCTATTCGAAGTGCCGTCGAATTGTTTTTTCTTATACATGATAAGCTATTCAACATTCACTAACTATTCACATCGCCGTCGAATGTTTTTTTTCCTAAATACGCTACGCCCAGATCTAACTTCTGCTATTCAAAGCGCCGTTGAATTGTTTTTTCTTATATACGATAAGTCCAGACCTAACTTCCGCTATTCGAAGCGCCGTCAAATTGTTTTTCTTCTATATGATCAGTCCATCACTTTCACAGTGCCAGTCACTGAGCATGCGCGTGTTGTTGATGCAGACAGTGCTCTGTGATGACATGACATCACCATTCATAGCGCTTCGAATTTCGGATAGCCTAGGGGAAGGTGAGCGTATTGCTACAGCTAACTTCATGAGAAAAAAAAACATTCACTGCACTTCAAGAGTCAACTGCCCTTGTTTGAGCTTTGGTGTGACGAGTGAATATTAGGGATATTCTTTAGAGGAATATTTTATATCTCTTGTTGGCTCCTCTAATCACTCTGTCTGGTAACCATCAAGTAAAGAGTATTTCTGTATATTTATCTCAATGATTTTAGATATAATGTGCTCCAATTTTATTACGTTTGAGAAAAATGAGATGAAAATCCGTTATCTGTTTAAAAAAAATAAAATCACACGGCATTCGAATTGCTCTCCCACGCTTCAAATAGCTGCGAATGGTGCAAAAATCATGAATGTCGAATAGCAAAGTTGAATGGGTACAGCTCTACAATTTAGATGTACTGCGTGTGCGGTAAGTGATTTAGGTAATATAGGAGGATGAGGTATCTCTCCCTTAAAAACATTGACTTGGGTGCAATCGTTTATGTTTTTAATACAGACCAGTATTCTCAACCTTGGATTTTTGCTTTAACATTTTTATTTCAGTGATTTCAAGGTGAAAGTAATGTCGATGGAAGAAAATGAATGCACATGCCTGTACACAGAACATCAGGCTCCAATCCTTAGTGTCGCAATGGATCCCACACGAGAATTTGTGGTGAGTATTTGAAACATTTCCATGATTTATCAAGAACGGTGCAATTTGTCTATGCAAGTCTTTACGCATGTAACTTACTGACGTTTGATTTCTGTTACTGCTTTGGACGGGAATTGTGTACATCCCTGGTAAAATGTTCTACCATGACAATGAGAAAATCATAGTTGAGAGACATAACTTTTTTTTCACTTAGTGGGGTCTGTGTACCCTGGACAACTTTGCTTCTATTACTATTTGTATTCATTTTTGCTAGTGGTTCTGACTGCATCAGGCTCAACGTTTTACAACATGGCACCAGGGAGAAGCAAAGAGCTCACAGTTGCTTTACTTGGGGTGCAGCATGCACATTATAGCGATACATTTTGTTATAAGATAAATGAGTATAAATGCCGTCATATTGCTTCCTGTTAGCTATGTTTTTTATTGTTACCTCACAGTTATGTTTCATTTTCTGAGAGGTACGCTGAATTTATATGAGTGCTCTTTATAGTTCCCTTGAACTTGTTTGCGAATTTTAAAATTAGAAGTTCCTGCATACGGGCAAAAATGTGTTCAGTGTTTTAACATGCTGACCTTTTTCTGACCATTGATCCTTGCTATAATCATAAAATGTGGCAATTCTTTTTCTTATAAAGGCTTCTGCGAGCTGTGATGGAACTGTTAAAATTTGGAGTTCTTTGGATGGATCAACTGAAAAGTCGCTGTCCCTTCTCTCAAAATGTAGTGAAGCAAGGTTTGTTTTTGTCCCAGCAATAGAACATTCTCTTGTACAGTTACCAGACTTTTGGTCTGCTCAGGTTATGATGATGGGAATGTGCTTCCTAGTACTCATGGCAAACATTCTGTTTGTTTGCCCTGAAACTGAGTCTTATTTAAATGTTAAGTCATACTCCTTTGCCTTTCTGTGCTATTTTCAAGCCTTACCACAAAAGTCCCAGGTAAACCTGAAGTAAAATATAAAGGATGGAGTCTCTTTCACGTGGGATTATTGCTGTAATTCCAGATCAACGCTGTCACAAGGAGGCTTGACTTTGATTGACCATGGTTTAACCTGTCGCTTTCAGCAGATGAGTTTTGAAGTTTTGTCTTAGTTTCTTTTTATGGCACACAAGTTGAACATCAACTTTGTTCATATCACCACCGAGTCTGCATGACTTTTCACATTCACAAAAGATATAAATTTCTAGTTTTAGTTTACTGGAAATAAATCATTAACCGATAGTTCTTTGGTAGTACTCAAAGGCAATGTCATCTTTCTTTTACATGTCATTTCCTTTACATGTCATGAGTGAAATCTCATCTTCCTCTTTTTACAATCACACAGCAAACATCTAACCTGTACTCATGGATATTGAAATATAATGGAAACTTTCTACAGGGCAACACTTGTAAGAATAATTTATTTTTGGAATTTCATGTTATGGCAGCAACATCCCTAAACAACCGCAATTATAATTGGATAGAGTTATACAGAAAACAGCTTAAGTTTCACTGAGCTTTACAACATCAATAATATATGAAATCAACAAAGAAGATCCCTGCTGACATCTAATGTCAATTAAATTCAGAATATCAGAAGTTAAAAGTAAATGTTTTTTTTTTAAATTCAAAAATCAACAGGTATATAGATCAATACGAACTATTCAATCAATGTCAGGTGTGTGAAATAACTTAATTTTTTAATGATCATCCTATGACTATTCGAGTGTGAGCGTCGATGTATGTAAATGTGTGTATTTGTGCAAGAGAGAGAGCTGGAGACTGTTTGTGTGTGTACAGTTGACGAGTACGTGTGTGGGTATATATATATATATTTATCATCATCATCTCCAGTGCCAGATCTGCGACAGACATCGCTTGGCGATCATGGTTCTCCGTTCATTTCATTGTTCCGATGCTCTTAATATTTACCATGCTTCTGCAAATTTCTCTTTGTGGAGATCAATAAAATCTTATCTCATCTTAATTGTTTCAGTCAAGCAAAGTCTCTTTGCCGGATGTGTTGGTCAGAAGATGGAGAAGTAAGTACATGTGTGTATTGGAATGATATTTTTTAACAAATTGAGCTGTGTGATGAATTACAAAGAGTGAGAAGTGGATTTCCGGTATTTTTTTAAGCTGCAGTGTTTGCTACAGTCATGTATTTTCACATTTTCTGTAAGACGTGGACTTAAAATGAAAATGCAATTAATTATATGTAGCACCCTGACCTGATAGTGCTTGCCGGTTAGGGGTTATAGTGATAGTTAAAATCAAATTTTAAATGAAGCATCACTGTTTTTGTGTGATTCCTTTTGTATCATAATGAAAAGTTTTAGCAGATTCAAGAGAATTGATGTGAGTTGTATTTTTTTGCTTTCATTCTTTACAGTTTTTACTAATACCAGTGAACAGTGAGGTGCATATCTATTTGCGCTCGTCCTGGGAAGTTGTTGGGAAAGTAAGCAGCTCTGACATAGCAGATGTGAGTATTTATCTCGGTAACCAGGCTCGTATTTTTAGATATGGTCTTGTTTTACGTTTTTCGTTGAAAAAAGAGAAAAAACCCCACTTTTGTGTACTTTCTTTCTCTTATTTGTCCTTGCTCATTGCTGTCGTCAAATGTTTAGTACCTAGTACCAAACATTTTGTTGTATTTTATTTTTCAACAAACTACTTTTCTCCATGGTGAAAAAAAGTACTAGTGCTATTATCATTGTTCACTCTTGAAGAAAGAAATATTGCAAGCACTTTTGAAGTGGTCATTAATTTCAAGCCTGTCATTGAGTTCATTTTAAGTTAGTTTGTTAGTTCAGAGGGGGGGAATAGTGGTGCTCAGTTTTGTTGAACCCTCCAAGTGTCACTAACAAATAGCCTGTGGTGTCAGGGGAAGTTATATGATTTCACCATGTTATGTTGGAAAATAATGGAGAACAGGCAAACCCAAGAAAATAGAGGCCATAAACCTATTCATTTTCAGCAAGAATGTAAGTAGGAAGTACATCTCATTTGTGAAGTTGTTAATAATGATAATATATAACATTTATATTGCGCATTTCCAAAAAAGTAGCTCAGTGCGCTTTACATTGGAATACCCATTTATCAAAACCTTTCTTACTACTTCCTTTCTTCTCATGCAATATATATTAATGTATACACACACACACACACACACACAGACTATTTTCATCCAGACATAGGAACAGAACAACTATAATGAAAAATAACGTTAAAAGCTTAAGAAGGATAGGCCTGTAGAAACAGAAAATATTGAAGATGTCTTTTGAAGCTATCAAGTATTTTTATGTTGTTGTTGTTGAAATGTTCAGCAATACAAAAAAAAACAGGATAAATTAATTAAAATATCAGCTCAAATTGTGTCCTGTTTAACTCTTTAAACCCCATCGGATGCTGGGAGCGTCTGACAGTAATAACCCTGTTCCCCATCGGATGCTGGGAGCGTCTGACAGTAATAACCCTGTTCCCCATCGGATGCTGGGAGCGTCCGGCAGTAATAACCCTGTTCCCCATCGGATGCTGGGAGCGTCCGGCAGTAATAACCCTGTTCCCCATCGGATGCTGGGAGCGTCTGGCAGTAATAACCCTGTTCCCCATCGGATGCTGGGAGCGTCCGGCAGTAATAACCCTGTTCCCCATCGGATGCTGGGAGCGTCTGGCAGTAATAACCCTGTTCCCCATCGGATGCTGGGAGCGTCTGACAGTAATAACCCTGTTTCCCATCGGATGCTGGGAGCGTCTGGCAGTAATAACCCTGTTCCCCATCGGATGCTGAGTGGGAGCGTCTGACAGTAATAACCCTGTTTCCCATAGGACGCTGGGAGCGTCCAATACTAGTGACAACTGTTTCGTTTTATTTAGTGCTAGTTTTTGCTTGTTTTTCGAAACTATTCCCCTAACAAGTTTTTTAGTAATGACTATAAGCCTTTGTTTCAGCTATTTGGAAGTTAGAGGCAAGCTAATATTGGGTTATAATGAGACATAGTGCATTAGGTTTAGGTGACTGTAGAAAAAAAACCTAAGGAAACGGTGGAAAAAACTCAGGGCTTAAAGAGTTAATTGGCTATGACACCACAGAACAAAACTTACAGGTCATTCAGTGGCTGTCGACACATGGACAGTTAAACAGTTTAAACCGGAGCATGTGATACCTTTGTCTTTCTGTGCACTAAATACACAAGCAGTTGTTTAAACTCGAGTGTCCATCACAAAGGAAGCTCAATTGCATGGGTCTTTTTGGCTTATGAGACCAGGGGACCAGATTTCAAAGGGTGAAGATGAGGGCAGTTTCTTTTTTTTTTAATCTTCCATTCATCCAAACCACACACCGATCTTTTTAAAATTGAAACACAAACTATTCAGTGCTTGCTTTTTTTGTTTGTTTTTTGAAGGATGTAAATGAGCAATTGCCAAAACGTGAGACTCTTGAGACTCAGTGGTGCAAAAAAAATTTTCTTACCAATTTGACTCTCTTTTCTGTCAGTCACAGATTGACATTTAGTGCTCATATTCCTAGAGTATCAGAGCAAGGAGATGTACGGTTTTGGAGATATGGGTCTATTGGTTTGGCAACTACTGTATTTCTTGTATGTAACAGTGATGACAAAAACAGATAAGCAGCAAGGCAAATTATGGACTTTAAATTCCATTTGTTTAGTAAACAAAGACTTTGTACACTATGAACTCCATTCATAATGGTAATATGAATGACAAGCTTTGTAACAATGACGCAGTGCACAGAACATGTCATCATTGTTATGTACAAGAAAGGGTACACGTTGGACATTATTATTGACAACACATCACAATAGTGAAAGGCTGTACAAATACAGTTATCAAAGCCTCAGTACCAGAAAAACACATGTGTAAAACAATTTTTAAACTAATATGAGGCAAAAGCACAAAATCAATTGAGCTGACCTGTACATAACAGTGATGACAAACATGACTTGTACATAACAATGATGACACAATGTACAGGAAAAGACAAAAGTCTTGCCTCCAGAGATAAAAGCGCACTTTAAGAATTTAAAAAAAACCAGGAGAGGTTTCTTTTGCTTTGAAGCAGATATCAGGTCATATCAAAGACAGTGGACGATCACAATTATGTTGCTAATTATGACAAACAGTACTCGTACATAACAGTGATGACAAAACATACTGGGAAAAGGTAAAATCATGCCTACAAAGAACAAATTTTCACTAAGAGATACACAGATCAATAAAGGCGTATTTTGTTTCTAAATGAATCTTGCATGTATGAAATATATGTTGAAAACTTATTGATATTAGCAATGATGACAAATATTACTTGTACATAACAATGATGACACAATGTATTGGAAAAAGGTATATCATACCAACAAAGAACAAATGTGCATTTTTGAGTTAGACAGATAAACAAGGACATGTTTGTTTATTTGTTTGAGTAAAGAGAGCACACATTACTTAAAAATGTTTGCTCTTAGGACAATGTAATTTCTAGTACGTCAGTCAGTCTTGTACGGCTGCATGACGACACCCCAAATGTCATCACTGAGCACAAAAGCTAAATCTATAAGCACAGAAATGATCCATCTCTCAAAGTTTGTTCACACATCACACTCTTGTTCCAGGAATCTAGTGTATACACCGCAATTTCACAAAAATATTCAACAGAGTAGCCTAAAAACACGCAAAACAGCCCAGTACGTCACATTCAACGCAAAATTCTTGTGCGTCACCGGACGCTGAAGGCAATGACTACTTTCATTTTTCTGTTTCCCCCGTTGCTTCCGTTGTTCTGGGGAAGCGAATAAGGGGAAGTCACTCAAGAAAACAAATATATCCGGGCACTGTTGATGACCCGTTCAAAACAAAAGTGGGCGAAATTCGGACTTCCGACACGTCACAAATTGACGACAATAACGGCGAATGTTAAACAGCCGACCGAAATCGTAGATCTAGGAACCCGATGTTCCTTTCGCGCATCGCGGCTTTTGAAGTATTGAATAAACGACGATAGGCAAAGAGATTTAACCAGCTACAGTGATTCTATTGAAAAATAATGGTGTTTTCTGAAACACCTAGTCCGTGACGACAGGACAGACGCACAAGCAATCCGAATTGTTCGTCTATTTGCAAACAAATAAACCGATTTCTTGAGCAAGTTAACCTTTCTCAATGACAAATAGCATAGGATCAGGGCACACGTGAAAAAAAACCCACCCAAAAATACTAAATTTTGGACATTCTTGGAAGTTTGCATTGGTGTGCTCAAAATGACACTCCAGGAATCACTAAAAAACGAACATTTTTGGCACAAAATTTACAAACTCAAGATTATAAAGCTGACATGGGGTCTGAAACTACTAATGCAGGTTCTACATCCTATATTTGACATGTGTATAAGTTTTAGAGGAATAAATACTAATGCATCACATTTTATGCACACTAATGTGAGATGTGTGTGTTTTTCCCCATGTTTTGGCAATGGCTCAAATATAAGCTAACTGTTTCGTCTGTTTCAGGAGATCAATGTCATGGCCATGTGTCCAGATGGAATCCATGTGGCAGTTGGTTGTACAAAAGGATCTGTGGCGGTTTTTGATTGGCAGAACAAGAAGCTGGCTGAAAAGTATGCAACTATCTGTGTTTTGAGAAGAACAAGTTAATGTCTGCTTTACCCACTAGTGGCGGTTGGTCAGGTCTTACAGATGTCGATGTTGACACTCATTCTAAGAGTGTGTGTGTATAGTGTTTCCTGGAATATTGTGGAGTTGTTTTCCAGAACCTCCCTCGACAGGGAAAGACCCGCAAAATAGAAATGATAAATTTATTACATATATTTTACCTTTATACACCCTCCTTGCACTCTTGTTTCAAGGCTCGTATAAGCACTTTTTGCTCTTAGAATTTTGAACCCAAAGGTTTTGAAAGATAAAACATTTATACACAGTAGACTTTGTTTAATTCAAAGATGTTTAATACAAGATTCCAGTTGACCCATATCCTTGTCTCCCCCACCCCCCTTTATTTTGTGCATGGCAATTTCCTATAACATGAAAACAAAATTATAGTAGATAATAATGATAAATAGCATTTATCCCCGTTCGACAGCAAGCTCTACGTGCTTTACACTATATGAAGGAACATGCACATGCATTGACATTTTTTTAAAAATTTCTTCGTCTCATTAATTTTTATCTATGAAGGTAGCACTGGTCTTTTTCTGTGCTATATTATCTAATCTGATATTATAATTTCCAGGTTCTCTCATCCTAAGCAGCTGGCGATAACATCTGTGGCATGGAATCCAAAGAACAAGAAGGAGTTAGCTTTCTGTGATAATATGGTATGTTAAGTTGTCTGGTGAAGTTTAAAAATCGGGCATGGAAATGCACCATCAAACAGAGCAAACTGTTCAAGTGGGCAGTTCAGTGCAAAATTCAAAGTTGTCAGATTTTTATGAAAATTGGCTCAAAGGAAAGGTCCTGCCACACTGATCACAGTGCTTTTTGAATTTTGTTAATATCTGTATTGGTTCAGAAGTTATTGTATTTTTTTTCTACTTTATTTTTCACTCAAAATCGTGGTCCTTTTTTGCACTGCATTTTGTGACTAAAGGAGGACAAAAATCAACAAAAATGTACATAACTTCGGAACCTGTAAAGATATCTTCCTGTTTTTGGCATCAAATCAAAGGTTATTATGTGTACTTTCATATGAAAGAAACCGAAACAGTTTTGTCTCTTAAATCTCTTTAACATGGTAAGTAGATTAAGAGCGGGGTCAATTTTCATGTGCCGAAAAAAGATGAATTTGAAAATAAGCGATGATATTTCAACAAGGAATAGTCTGAAGTGCATGTGTCATGTATCATTTTGATCGTCTTATTCAACACATTTTAAAAAGAGAATATAAGAAGAGGATAACAACAATTTTATGTCAAACTGCTCTAGAAAAGGAGAAAAGAACAAATTGAGGAAAAAATCAAGCACGAAAAAAATATTTGAATGAAAATCTCATAAGAGGCCTACTAGATCGTAGATGCTACTCCAAGTGATTTTCATTGTGACCAGACAGTTGTGTGAACATAAAACTAGTAGTGATGAACAGTTTGAGGAAAGAAGGAAAGAATTTTCTAAAGATAAATCAACTACGAGTGACCAAGACTATAAATGATAATGCAGAGACTTGGGCCTACGAAATTTGAGAAAAAGATAGCATATAAAATCAAAGACTAAAACTAAGAATGTAAGGCTTTAGTAAGAGCTAACTGCACAATATACATGATACATAATATGTGCAACTGTGGGCCAAAAGAATCAAAATGTTTTTTAATTGTCTCTAGAAAATCTAGAATCTATAATAAAAATAATCTTCTCAAAGTCAAAATCACTGTGCACAGACCTTGGCAAAAGAAAACAAGTGTTAAACATAATAATATCTGTGAACAGATATACATGTACCATGGGTACGCTCCAATGATCTCCTGTTCAGTAAAAATTGGAAATATTAAATAGGAAAAAAACAACAACAACTAGGACTAGGATTACCAGGAAGGCGAAAAGTGCGATGCGGCAAAGACCCAGAACTAAAGGTGGGCAAAATCCGGATATCATATCCGGATAACCGGATAATTCTCACTGAAACATCCGAATTCAGACTCTTAAAACTCTCTTTCCTGACCCGTTTGCCAAAGTGGGTGCACACATTAGTGTTGAAGTGATGCTAACCCATTTGTCGAAGCGGTTCTGATCCATTTGCTGAAGCGGTTCATAACATTTGGCTTTGCCAAAGAGGTGCACTAACATGTTATCCGGATTATCCTAAGGCGACTCATTGCCCAGCCCCGGCACGCCGATGCTGCCTAAGAAAAACAACTTTCGCTATCAAGTGCACTGGCTCTAGTCGCCGTTAGACAGGGCTAAATACAGCCATTCTAGGCTTATTTTAAAGATAAAGAATATTTCTAACTGCCAGAAAAGTTACAAAACTGCCTGGCAAGTGGGGAAATAGATATCAAACGTTGAATTTTGGCTTAAATTCAAATAAAAATATCTCTGGCTCTACTAGTCGGATCGGCTAAAGGAAGACGCCATTTTGTAGATAATTAAAAAATCTACAAAAACATGTATCGGAATTAGTGGTTTATTACTATTTAACGAAACAAATTCGCGATTTTCTGAGGTCACCAAATCGCCGCCGCAATCCGCCGCTCACAGTTTTCTACGGGCGGCGAGGAGCCGATTTCGCCGGGAGCCGATCGCGTTCACTGAACTGCCTAGTTCAAGTATTTTAAGCTCAAAATTTTAAAAGAAAGTTATTGCAGTTTTTTAAAAAATCAGTTACATATGTGAGGAATGTTTTGTTGAAATTTAAATTCTAAGTATTGAAAAAAGCAAATAGATATAATATCCTAAACGCATTTCCCCTCATGTTCATGTTGGCGAAATATCACTTGCTCAGGGTCTTCTGGGCAGCTTGTCATGAAGTGTTTAGTTTATGACTACATGACCAAGCAGCACAACTGCAGAGTCTATCCTTCACCTCCAGGCCCAGACAAAGATCCATACCTTAGAAACATTTTTACAATGTTCCCCACAGATATGTGCTGAATAAATCAGTGCTTCCACTCTTCCGTATTTTTACGGAAATCCATACTTTCTGCCAGTTCCGTACTTGTTCCTCCATCATTATCAACTCCCTCCGTAAAAAGACTGCGACAGCGTAGGACTAGATATCTACCGAAATTCTGTAGCAAAAGATCCGTACTCGCCTTCTTATCATCTTGTATTTGTATAAGCTACAAATCTTTACGCTAATTCTCTCGGCAATAAGTTAGTGTTATAGAGACCTGCCAGATTGGGCATTTCCTGCTTTCGGCCATTATTGGCCAATATTCCGCTATGCCCCATGCGCTCATTGCGGGTTGGTCAGCAGTACATTTTTACCTGCGGATCGATCAAAATCTGGCGAACTTTTTGTGCCAATTTCCTCCTTTACATCATTCACTCATTCCATCTGTCTCTCTTCGGACTGTTGCCGCGGCTGGAAAATATGCGCGTTGATCAAGTAAGTTGACTTGTGATCTTAGACAGAAAATTACTGTCAGAAAGAAACTTGTTTACAAATTTATTGTCTAGATCTAGAGAAATTATCAATGCGAAGATTCTACGGCACGGGAACGCGATACGGGCCGCGATGAAATAAATTTATGCTGAAACTACTAAAATCTAAAATAATTCGAAGTGGTGTTCCGAGGTTGTGACATGCAACATTCGAAGTGAAAATTGTGGAAAATGAGGGTATACGCTGGGTAACTGTATTGTGAAGGTGCATATCTATTCATTATTCCCAGGTTTGCCTTCTATCAATCGTGCGATGACAAATTAATTGAATTATAGTAGCAATGGAAGGGGAACCTGCTTTTAAACTTTGCCAGCAGTGGAAAGATATGTAGGTGAAGAAATCAAACAAGACAAAATGTTGGTGAACATTAAATGTTATGTGTTGTAGGCAATCTCTTCAGACAGGCTCCCAAATGCTATTTTAACCCTCTAAAAGTACTAAATTTCAATTCTTTGGGGGCTTCGCCTCCTGAACCCCCCACCGGGACTCTGTCCCTGGACCCTGCTGGGGGCCTATACGACCCCTTGGCAGAATTTTCCTTACTTTTCAGCTTCAGCTGGTTAAAGTGATGATAAATACACAAACATTTTAGCTGGTAAAGACCAGGGTGCTGATCACTATAAATGGTGGAACAAATTATTGCATTTTCAAGTCTTGGCCAAATTAGAATGATAAAGTAGTGTCTGATTGCTTAGTACATTTCATTGGGATTGAACAATGTGCCTCACAGTGACACTTCTCCAAAAAGAACAAATGGCTCTTCTCAAGATGATTTATGTCAACCAGTAGATAAAAAAAAGCCTATACTTTTCTTTTGGTATCAGTTAAGTAGTTGTGGGGTGGTTGCTTTTTTTATGGGTGTGTGTGTGGATTCATTTGTCTCCATCAAGTTCACCTCCTGTTTTGCTGTACACGACATCAGAACTTGACAAATAACTCTGGGTGTTAAAAATGCTTTTCAACTTTGTTCTTTCCAGGGGCAACTTGGATTTGCTGAGATTTCAGCGATAGTTGAAAAGGTAATGTTCATGTTTTAGAAGAATCAAGAACAACTTTATTATATAGCATATTTGCCTAGTCACATTGGGAGAGACTCTAACATGAAGTTGGGTCTGATGTCTGTGACTGATTTGATTGTCTTAGCAAGTTGTGAATGGTTTTTGTTTTTTAAAGTAAAATTTGTTACATTTCTGGTGGAAAAACTCTTTTTGTATGAATTAGTCTCGTGCATAGATTTATTGTGCTGTCACTAAAGAAAGTTTTTGTTCACTCATTTTTTATCTTAAAAAAAAAATGTGACTACTAATAAAAGATTCAAGTTTTTTCTGTTGTCATTTTGCATATTGATACATCTTATGACTGTCTGCTTTTCTTTTCGCTCATTCGTTTTATTATAACCTGTCTGGGCATCCAGACAAATAGTATTGAAGTTTCCCAGTAGATATCTTATTGTCAGGGGTAAAATGTTTTTAAAATTTTACGACTGCAAGGAAAGCAAGACCAAACACTCTCTCTGTCTCTGTTTATTTTTCTGTTACATGTAAAGAGGTAAAATTGCACCATTTCAAATGTCACATACACTTACCGTATTGTGTTGTGTTGTGTTTTTTAAAAAATGTTAATTCTTACACTTAATGTGAAAGGTAGAATTGCGCAATTTGTTAGATATATGTCTGCGCTCACATACGCTTAAAAAAATTTCCAGACTTTTTTGTCAACGGCCACTTTTATTCCTATTTTGTATCAACCTATGTCTGTGGTTATAAAGGGTTGGCTTTTCTTCATAACACACTGAAGACATGAGTTCAGTTCCCTTGTGAAAAACCTCCCACTGTCTGCTGGAATGCCGTATCCCCCTTAGTCGGCATTGGCACTGACAGACAGGATTGGAACAGCCTGCTTCATTTGTGATCAAGACCGTATCCACACATTAGCAATCCTATTGTATCAATTAATATAGAACTTAATAAAAATCTTTTTTTCTAATTGCCAACTTAGTCCTCTGGAGTCCAGACCAATGGAGAAGTGTTTGACGATTTGGATGATGACATGCTGGTGGCCTCTAGCTCGGTTCCCGGAGAAGGTGGAGATGATATTGATCGAGTGTTGGAGGATCCCGATGAGGAGAACAGCATTGATATAGGGAGCATCAAGCGTAGTTTGGCACCGTATATGGAAGACAATGATGATGCTGGTAATTAAGTTATTTTGTCATGCATAATAATCGTAATTGTGTAAGATAATTACAGTTATTTTTTGGCCTCATAACAAAGTGGGATAGACCCTGCTGTTATAAATGACAAGGAAGAGGCCCTCTATTTTTGGGCCATGGAATTTACTCGAAAGGTTGGTTGATGAGCCCAGAATGAAATATTGTAAGAGCTGGCAGATCAATTTATTCATGTATTTCCAAAATGAATGTCCTTTGTTTTTCTTTTTCTTATGTATTTATTTACCTATACAGTTCTTGGAAAGAATCTATTATCATGTCTTCTTGATGTGAACTATAACTTATTCTCAGCAACGAGCTGCATATTGGCAAAATTGAAGAGAAACAAAAATTGCAATTTAATTTGATGTGTTCTCTATCAATACCCCTTGGGGGGGGGGGGGATGTGTAACAAACAACATTGTTTTTGGTTTTAATGAATAATTTGCATACCAAATCGTGTTGACAGACCTAAAAGAATTGCATGTTGAAATTTTTTAGGCTTCGCACAACTTGCTAATTTAAAAAAAAAAAATTAATCTTCTTGTCTTCAGTTGTTTGCATTCTTATGATTTATTAGATCAATGCTGCATTCATGTGGTTTTACATAACGTTTTTCTTTCTGTGTTTGTTGTCCAGAGTCCATGGCGAGCAGTAAAGTGACAGACATGCCACCCGTCCCAGTGACTGCCCCTGTGCTCCCAGCTAATATTTTCAAGCCCACTCCCCTACAGCCACCATTTCAGCCTGGTTCTACCCCAGAACATCTCTCAAGCAGATTTATGGTTAGAGAAGTTTTGTGTGTCATTTCATTGTGATTTATTGTGTGTCATTTCATTGTGATTTATTGTGTGTCATTTGAGCTTCCTTTGCCGATGCTTTGTTTAGTGCCGATAGGTGGAAGGTGTTCTAGTTGGTCTTCTTCCCAATTTTTTGTTTTTATCTGACTGTTTTTCCCTGCATTGTTTTCTGTAATGTCAAACCTTTTACTTCAAAACAAATGGTCTTTATATATTTTTATTATCTTCCTCCCATCATGTCTTATTTGTCAAATATGTCTTTTCTGAGTGCGTATGTGCTCAGTTTGTACAACTCCAGAATGTGGTGTGAGCAACTTGGATTTGAATTTGTTTCTGAGCTTAAGTTTTTAGCAGAGTTTTTTATGGCTGTCCATTCACCATCAATATAAAATGGATGCTGTGCACTCAAACTTTCAGAAATGGCATGTTTGTAAAATTGCTGTATCAGTGTGATTTGGTGTGTTATTTGACAGTTGTAAATTTCGAAATGTATTCCGTTGTAACCCAAATTTTTCAAGTGGATGAATAAAATTGGTATATTTTATTTACGATTTAAAATGAGCATTGTTTGATGGTCAGGTGTGGAACACAGTGGGTATTGTACGCCAGTACACGTCGGAGGAGGAAAACTCTATCGACATCGAGTTCCACGACACTGCGACCCACCATGCCCTTCACGTAGACAATAACTCAGACTTTGTCATGGCTGATCTGTCAACGCAGGCTGTTGTGCTGGCCTCTAGGGGAGATGAGGACAACCCCAGGTTGGTCTCTATGATGTCTTGTGGACGCTTGTAGGCTATACTATAATAGATGCTATTGGCACATTTATTTTAAAGATTAAGGCATTGTTAGAGTGTTGAATTTCCCTGTATCAGTTTATGTTTCCCATGTTGGAGTTATATTCTTCCACGAAATACTGGAATTATTGAAATATTGAATGTTGAAGTGAAAAGGCTGGCATTACTAAAGTACTTGACTTCTTAACTTACGTGTATAACTTTTTTAATTTATGAGCAGACTGGTTGTGCCACTTCTGTCAAATGTTCCAGAATCCTGGAAATAATGGATGTCAGTAGAGTCTACTTTCTTTTTTAAATATTAAAAAAACAACTGTGTGCCTTGATTTTAGTGACTCTGTAATGTTTTGTTGTACTTTCAGTAAACTGCTGTGCATGCATTTTGGCTCCTGGGACAGCTGCAAAGAGTGGTCGTACCAGATGCCAGCAGGGGAGGAAATACAGGTCTGAGAAATGATGGAATGGTTTAGGCATACTTCATGAAAAAAAAGTATTTTGTTTTGTTAACAGTTATGAGCTTATTGTACTGACTGCTTTGTCTGATTGAGTTTCTTTTTGTTTGTGCTCATTTGTGTCATATGATGATGGTATTCAATATGCGCAACATGCATTTCTTCCTCTCATACTTTCATACTTGTCTTCCGTTGAAATAAGAGAGGAAAACAGCATGTTTTGGAACTAAGTAATACAAATTCTTCATTATAGTTTCTTGTCATTTCTGTAGACATTTCTTGATGGAGTGTTGCCTTTGTCATTCTTACTATCCATCATTTGGATTTTAAACATTTATGTTTATGTTTTCGTTGAATTTTTTAAAATGTTCATCCAGTTGGTTGGGCTAGGTGGAGTTTTGAGAGTGTTAGTTATGTACCCTTGCTCTGCACACAAGGGATCCTTTACAGTTAATATATATTTTCTTATGTATGGTTTCAGTAATACTTTCAGATTGTTTAGAAATCCTAAAGATCTGGTGTTGATGGTTGGCAGGTACTCCAATGTGGTTTGTTCCTTCCTTCCTATCAAATGTTTATCGACCTTATCTCCCCTACTTTTTTGTGTTTTTAGTATTTAGCACTTATATGACCTTATTGGGTTGCAAGTGCCTTAAAACTCTTACAAACAAAAAGTAAAGATTCGGTGAGCTCAGCAGAAGTAAACATCAATCCAAGAAGAAAAGACAAATAATTCATTCTGTGGTCGTCGCTGCTCCAATGAGCGGTGAAATAAGACAACCTCTTGCTCTTTGTTGTATTTCTGTTTTTGGTTCCCATACTTTTGTTTCAGTAAATTTTATTTAAATGTTTCCAGTCTGTGACAGTAACGGACACCTGGCTCGCTGTAGCCACAGCCTCCAGAACACTGAGGATATTTTCCGTTGGTGGGTTACAACGTGAAGTCTTCTCTGTGCCTGGAAAAATAGTCTCTCTTGCCTCCAGTGGTAAGACGCTGATGGTAGTGTACCACAAGGGCATGGGCGTGCCCGGGGACCAGTACATGGGCGTGTCGGTGATACGTGTCTGCAAGGGGATGAAGACGGCTCTTGTGAGGGATGAGACACTGCCTCTGTCCCCAGGCTCCAGGCTGGCTTGGATTGGGTAAGTTTATCGACCCAGAGCTTACTTTCTAGTAAGGATGTGCACTTAATTATTTCAATCTTGTTACATATTATTGTTATTATGAAACTAAACTCATGTCATAAATGTGTAAAAATAGAAGTGATGTAACAAATGTCTTAACTTATTTTATTTTTAAAATGTAATTAACTAAACTAATTCCAAGGCGAAAATGAGACTTCTTTCATGATTGTGTAAAATATCTATATCATGAACGCATCTTCATTCATTATTTCCTTTTTTTTTTCTTTTTTTTTGTTTTGGTAGAGGGTTTTACGGCGCTCGCAACTGAATAAGATCATATGAGCGCCAGTTCATTATCTCCTTTGAAATGGAAAAGAACTCTTGTGCTCGTATCATGTGGATATTTTTTTAAGATGAGCTTTCACTGCATGTTCACAGGTTTTCTGAGGAAGGCACACCTTTTTATATGGATGTGGATATTTTTTTAAGATGAGCTTTCACTGCATGTTCACAGGTTTTCTGAGGAAGGCACACCTTTTTATATGGATTATGAAGGAGTGGTTAGAATGCTGAACAAGCAGTTTGGATACACTTGGTGGCCTGTGGCAAATACGAAAGATCATGTATGTACTGCTGCTCCTCCGGTTATCAGGGGGGATATGTATTTTTACTGAGCTTTATTCATATTCTATCTATTTTTGAAAATTGTGAGTACACATTGTTCTTTTTATCACTGTTAAAGTATTACATATTTTATATCAATGAATCGATGTCAGGTTATTTTATTAATGTTCTCATCATAGCTCATCGATCTGATTTCATAGTGGCTTTAGTTAATGAAAACTTTCTTCACTCATCATTTGTCTTTATGCTTGTTTATTTGTGATAGGATTTTGAATCATATATGGAAGCATTGAAGTGATGAGAATGGTTACTGTTCCTAGTCAGAATGATTTGAAGAAAAAAAAATTGTTCTTTCTTCAAATTTTTAATTACTGCATCTTTACAAATCTGAGTATAATGTAAAATGTTTCATGAAAGAAGACTAGATTCTATATAAACACGGTCAAACTATTTTCGCGTGCTCATATAACTTCACAACATGAAAAGCTCCGTGAAATCTTATCTTGTCAAGTATCTAAGCTGTCATTTTGATAATGGAACTCAAGAACCTCTCTTTTCATCGGTTTTTCAAATGCAGACCAAGGGGAAATCGGACCATTACTGGCTGGTGAGCATGAGTGAGACACAACAGCAGATTAGGTATGTCTTGTGAGATAAATATTGTTCTGTGACTGAGAAATTTATTTTCAGTTTCAGTAAGTAAGGGTAAGAGTGTTAAGGCCTTTGCCATACAAGTAGGTCATATGTGCTGAAGATTAGAGATATTACTAGAGACTGAAAAGAATAGCTTACAGAGAAAAGAAGGCAAGATAAGACCAATAGATGTTTGATAGGAAAGAAGTAGCGAACCTCACCAGAGCACCTGCCAACCACCCATGATCTATCCCTGAGCCTTCTCTACCATCACCCTTCTTTGCACCTTACTCATGTTTCAGAGTGTAGTGATGCAAATCTACATATCAACTTAAGGGAGCTCAGGTGTATGGGTTTTGTTGAAATTGGGGAGTGCTGGATTGTTCCACTTGTTGGAGTCTGCACTGCCCTGAACTTGACATGTAGGCCTACGTCTGTAGTTTTGGGGACGGTTCAGATTCAACTTGATTCTCTGCTTCTTTTCTTGTTAATTTTTTGTTTGTGTATATTTCTCTCATATTGAAAGATTTTTTTAAAAAGTAGTTGATTGTGTGGCAACTATCTCATTAATGGAAGCATAGCGTGTAATGAATGGTTGTTGTTTGTTTGTTTTTAAATCATGACCTATTTTATATGTGTTTATTACCCTGTGAATTGCAGGTGTATCCCATGTAAGGGATCTCGATACCCTCCCACCCTGCCCCGCCCCGCCCTGGCTGTTCTGCCTCTGGAGCTGCCTCTCTGTGATATGGACTCAGAGAAAAGCAAATACGAGGTAAGGGATGAGGTTTTAAAGATTATACAGTATTCTCACAATGACTTTTTATTTTGTTGCATTTGTCTTGAATTTGCAGGTTTTAAAAAAATTTACAGTTCCACTATTTTGTATCGTCTTTGTTGCGGGTGGTTCCTGGGCATTATTGGTTTCTTTTCTTTTGTTCTGAAGTTTCTGTCTGCCTATTCTTTATCCATACACTAAATGACAGTTATCTTGTTGATGTGCTTCTCTTTACTCCAACTAGTAGACAACTGTCTCTGAAAATGTTTACCCCCCGGGGCAGTGCCACTGACTGTAGTGTCTTTAGGCCATTCCCAAAGGGGGGACATTTCTCGTTCAAGCACAGGAGAATTGTAAATGGGCTGATTCATGTCCCGCTCATAACTGTGCCTGATCTACAACAGGGAACTGCTGCTTTTTCTTTCCTAATCCTTACTATTGTCATTTTCCTCTACTTCTTTTGTATGTTTGTCACACTCTTGTGACCTGCTATTTCCGGGGTGCCTTGATAGTTGAAGCAAACCTTGTGCTGTTGAAGCTAGAGAGGTGAGCAGAGTAAGTCTGATTCCCTGTAAAAACTTCTCTGTTGACACCCACCCCTTGGCGCTCATATGACTGTATGCAGTTGCGAGCGCCGTAAAACCCTCTACTATAATTATTATTTTTTTTAAAATGGAAATGCACTGAATCTTTCATGAAAAACGGGATGCGCAACACCAATGTCTTAGAACAAAGTTTTCAGGTTTTAACTTAATCCTGTCTGATGTTTTACACCATTGGATTTTTCTGTGTTCTCTTCAGAATTTACTCAATAAGATTTTATGTCATTTCAATGAGTTTTATACAATCTTGGTAACTGATAATGTGCAATTCAAATTACCTTTTCTTTTTCACTTTTCAGGAATCATACCAACGTCATCACCTTCTAGCGGAGAACTTGAAGCTAATGGGAGGGGAAGAGAGTGGAGAGCTGTTTAAACCTGTCAGAGAGGCTCTCATGAAGCTTTTTGCAGTAAGTTCTGTTTTCAAACTCTTCTGTATGAAAATGTATCAAAACTAATGTCTTGAGTTGAGACCAAAATATACATATTCGAATTATGAACATTGATATAAAACCAGGAGTAATGAAAATGATTCCACTATCAAATATTTGTCCCTCATTTGTAGAACTCTTTATCAGCACACATCAAAGAATGTCGATGGAAATCTGATTTCACTGACCAATAAGTAATTGGATTACCTTTCCTAATCAACTGAGTAAGAGGGAAGGGGTGGATTGTTGGGTTATATTTAATGCAGAGCTTCCTACCGTTACAGATTTTCTGTATTTTGTATCAATTTCAGTTTTTAAATTGCACCTGTGTTAGCACAACTCATATTCTTTTTATTCTGAAAGGTTTCTGTCCTGATTAAACTATGTCCTTTGTTCTCTGTGTCAGATGCACAAGATCCAGGCTATTCACCCTGAATGGGAACCATAAACCGAGAGGTCTCTGTCCAAGTTTTATATTTGTAAGCATGACTTTTTCAGTTTGCTGCCAAAGCTGAGAGAGAGTTCCGGGCTGTAGAGGTGTGCGACATGATGGAGGACCAAAGCTTGCTACATTTGGCCGCCACCTACGCCACCCGGCTCAAGCGCATTCAGCTGGCTGAGCGGGTCGGAAAAATTATGCACAAACGACAGGAGGAAGCCGAAACTGTTGCCAATGAAGACGATTCAGAAGAAGAGGACACTCAGGAAGTTGAGGTCCGAACCTCTTCAAGGTAAGCAATGAAAGATTTGGAAAAGATGTAAACTATTAATTGTGATGTTTTTAAGGTGTTTAAAAAAAATTAAGATTAAAGTTGGATGACAGTTTGAAGTATTATTACAGCCCAGAAAATAATGGGAATCAACAGGAGAATGACTCTGATGTTTCCAAGGATGGAGATGATTGGCAAGGAAGATTTTGTAAATAATAGGTAAGAGTTATGAAGCCTGTGTCAACAATAGATTATAGTTAGGAGGCTTGTGTAGGCTAGGGTTAGGAAGTCTGTGCGAATGATGGGTTAGGATTAGGAGGCCTGTGTAAATAATGGGTTGTGATTAGGAGGCCTGTGTGTAACTTATGGGTTAGGATTAGAGGGGCATGTGTTAATGATGGGTAAGGAAGCCTTTTAAACAATAACTTAGGATTAAGAAGCCTTTAGAAATATTCTGGCTTTTGTGTGAATGTGTTGATGTTAAGATTAATGCTCAATGATCGGAAAGTGGCTTTTTCCTTTGTTCGTTATTGTCACATTGCGTTCATCTTGACCATGGTTTGTTTTGAATGGACAGTAATAGGCAGGCGGAGGAACAGTCTGATGCTGATGATGATGATATGGAGGTAGCGGAGGATGACAATGCAGACTCACAAGAACAGCCGTCTACTCCAGGTAAATCATTATGTTGCAGGAAAGAATTTTGTGCTCAAAGAGTAGGTGAAAAAATTGTTCTGAAAGGATTTTAAATGAAAGACAAATGTCTATATTATTGCGCCTATATTGCAAATGTCACCTATTTGTTGGAATGAAACATCTTGTAGTTTACAATCTTTCTATTAGATCCATATATACACACACACATTTAGTGGGTGGTTGGCGGGTGCTCTGGTGTGGTTTGCTCCTTCTTTCCTATCAAACATCTATCGTCCTTATCTCCCCTTCTTCTTTTTTATGTTTGTTACTCTCTTGTAAGACCTCTAATCTTCTGGCGCTCATATGACCTTATGCTGTTGCAAGCGCCGTAAAACCTCTACTAAAACTAAAACACACACATTTTGATTATGGTATTTTGATATTTTAATAGCTCTTTGGGAAAGATGTGTTACTGAAATCTGATTTAAAAAATCTGGGTTATATTTTTTTAGTCTTATGTCCCTCTCTCATTTGGCTTTAAAAAAATTCTCATTAGAAAATCCTTTTCATCCTTTGAACTCTTTTCATTTGTTTATTGATGGTACACAAATACCTCGAAGTCCCTTGAGCCATTTTTCTATAGTCATTACCCCTTTTGGTTACTCGTGTAAGTGTAAGATAAATGGCATCTATTGAGTCAAATCAAAGTTGATTACCTGTAGGTCTTGAAATGTCTTAAGTGCTTTTGTAATTCTTATTCTGTAATCAGTTCACTGTGCATTTATCTTTTTATTGTTCTTTAGCCCAACAGAAGGTACATTAAATTTGTGTTTATTTATGGGCTAATTGTTGTGCATTTGTCATTAATTTAACTTCTGTTGGTGTTCCTTGTCCAGGTCCAATGTTGAAGACAAACATTGACAAAGAGTGCAGGTCAAAAGACAGATCTTCAGGAAGGCAAAATCCTTTCAAGGTAAGGAAATGTCTGTCTTACATGCATTTTATTGGGCTGTCCCAAATTCATTTCTGTAGTCTTGTCTGTGTGGCTACTGCAGTTTAAAATGCAAAAGTGAGTTTTCAAAAACTTCCCAAATAAGACTTAAGTTTGTTAGGAATTGTGAATGTGCAGGTTATAGTACATATTTACACGTTTTTGTTGGGAATTTGAAAGCAAGTACTCTTTGTACCCCAAACAATATGTTTTTTGTTTGTTTGGGTTTTGTTTATTTTTTTGGGTGGGTGGGAGGGGGTGTAGTGTAGTAGAATCTAATTGTATCTTGTTTGGATGTGCCCCCTCCCATTTGCAGTACTTTCCTGTAGCATTTTGTGGCTGTAGGACTTTCCTTTAATAACTTTGAAGTTTGATAAATGCATCAGAGCAGTGTCTTTTTACCCATCGACAGATTGCATCTCCAGCTGAAAGGAGTGGAAAAAAGGGCAGCCAAGTATTTGATAAGATGGAAAAATCAACTCCAAAGGCTGCTCCCACTTTCGCACCTTTGCCTGTCAGCATAAAAAAGTCGGTAAAAAAGGTATGGATAATTTATGAGCAGACAATAAAGACACTCATTGTTATTGTGGTGTGGAGATAGTTTGCTTTATTCTTGTGCTGGGGATGCCTGTGTGATCAGTGAAAAATACTCGCCATCAGTGGACTCTTTGGAGAGCACCTGTTCAGACTGAATGGAACTTGTACAAAATTCTGACAAATATGCAAAGAAATTTCAAAACTGCCAATCAGTTTGTCAAAAATGTATTTCATACGTTTTTGAACATCTGGGGAGCGGAAGTCCGTTTTTTATATCTGATAGTTTGTATTCCTATTTTCCCCCCCCAGTACTGCTCCTCACAGGCTTGCCAATATTGATTTTTAAAAATGTTAACTTTGAAGAACGAATTTGTGAATAATAAGGAGAACGAAGCCCACAAGTCAATAGGAGATGTCTTTTGTTGCATGTCTAGGCCTACTTTTGAATAGCTTGAATTTATTGAATGAAGAAAAGTGTGTGAAAGGTTTAGCGGGAGTTCACTTGGCCTGTTCCCACCGACTTGAAATGCAGCATGAGTAGTCTGGGTATTTCTTTGCTTTTTTGTTTTGAAAAGTTGACAGGGATGCAATATGGGTAAACTAGTACAATTGTTACAACTTAAAAAGTAATGTGGGTCGAATGGAATTAGAGATCATTTTTCACAGATCTCATATTGTTTGTTGTAGAATTATTTTTGCATCTGGAGACAGCATATTTTGGTGCCTGTCTTTGTTGGTTACGTAAAAAGAAAGTAATGGTGCAAATTGTTCTATGAAAGGGGAATTGCTGAGTCGGTAATGATGATGGTGATGACGATCTAAGTATAACAGTCTTCCACTTGAGCTCGCTGTCATGCGGGGACGAAACAAAAGTGGCATGAGATGGAGACTGGAAGCCTAGCCTTTAGCTCTTAGCCCACAAATGTCTGAGACTACATTCACTCTCCTAAATTTCTATGATATGTCTTGCTTTCCCATACTTATATTTAGATACAATTAATTTTCCGATTGCAATAGCTGCACCTGTTAACCACCATTCCCGGTGACCTACATCGATTCCCTTCACTGCCCCAAGTAAAACTATTTTCTCATTAATTATAATTGATGTACCTAGGTGGACATTTAAATCTTTTTCAATTTCTCTCCAAAGTGGCTGGACCTTCTTACAATTTAAAAAAAATTGTCTATAAAATCAGGCTCATTACAATAATATGCGCATTTTTTAGATTCCTTTAATTTCATTTTGAAGAGTAGTATGTTAGTGGGATAAATATTATGTAGTACTTTCCAATTTAATGTTCTCAAACGTGTTTCCCTAGCGTGATGGACTATTTGCCAATGTTTTTCATTAATATCAACACCATATTTTCTTTTCCAAATACCGATGCACAGTGGTGGCTCAATTTTACTTAATGCTAAAAGAAAACGTTTTCTCCCTATAGTACCTACAATTGCGTCCCTGAAATAGAAATTGTCATCCTTTTCATCATTAAAATACACATTCGTCATCGCATTTGATAGTCTAAAACACAATATGGATTGCATCCATATTTTGTTCTAAACTCTCCTAAAGACTGTAACCGTCCATCCTGGGTTATATCCTTTATTGCTAAAATGCCCCTTTGTATATAAGATGGTAAAAAGAGGGTTGCACTGAAAAGCTAATTTTATGTATCAACTGTCTCTGTCTGCTGTTTTGTTGTATTTTTCAGTCTGGGTTGTCCTGAGAGGTAGGGTCAAAGTAGCCCGCCTTATAAATCATTTGAATTGTGTATATTCAATGGGGCCTAAAACATTTACAACTAATCCTGCTATTTATTTTGTTGACTTTCTCTGTTCAGTCGTGTCTCATCTTTGAATTTTCTTGTTGTGTAGACAAGCTCTGGCCAGGCAAAACTTACTGGCTTCAAGAAAGGTGACAGCACCAAGAGCAAGCAGAGTGACGGAGCCAAACAAGTCAAGCAGGAAGTGGTGCTGTCGCAGTACTCGACAGAGGAGACTTCTGAAAATGAGCCTGTGAAAAAGTAAGCCACTGAGGACTCATTTGTAGAGATGTTATTTGTGCCCTCGAGAATAAGAGTAAACTATTTTTACTTTTGGTCAGAATTGACTATCTCTACCATGGAATCTTTCTCATCTCTGACAGATAAAGATTAACTCTTAAGTGGTTATTTTTAGTGATTTAGAGAATTTGACAATGGGTGATTGAATGGCACTGTAAGTAGGTTAAATTTCTTTTCACTCATTCTGTTGTTTATGTCTGAATGTCTTGCTTTTTCCCTGAGCATAGTAGCCGCTAATTTTTTAAGGTGTTTTTCTTTGCTCAAAACTGAAGAAATTGATTGAATTGTAATTTTAGTGAGTAGTGTTGAAGGTGAGAAGTGAAGTGATCATGTGATTGACTTGTTTCAGTGTTCTTAATCTCTAAGTAGCCTTTGTTTATTAATCACATTTTGTGACAAAGATGTAGAAAAGAATTTTTCCTTTTCTGTATTTATGGACATAAGATGATTGGCGTCTAATGTGTAGCAGTTGAGCGCTTTGCCGTCACACACAGAATACCTGAGGTGAATTCCCTTGAGGGGAGAATTTGTATAGAGTATCCCTGTCTTTCTGCTGGGATGCTTTATGCTTTTCAGCCCGGGCTGGCTCTCACGATTAGGATTGAAGCCTGCCTCATAAATAGTCGAAATTATGTTAATGGGGATATGAAAACACCTAAGTATTTTTAAAAAGACAAAATTAGCAGTCTGTCCTTTTTGCTCTTCTTGAAGAATCTGCAAATATCTATTGTGTTGTTGATGTATGACATTTCAGAAAAGTGAGTGCTTTTGACCTGTGGCTGGAGGAGAACAAGGGAGATCTACGGGAAGAGTTCCCCGAATTGTCCGACGAAGATCTCAGTCAGAAGGCAGCCCAAGCATTCAGAGCCTTGTCCAAAGAAGAACGACAGGTAAGTCAAGATGGCATAGAAACTGATAATAAGTTTGTGAATAAAAGTGTTGTCTTATTAGGCATTCAAAATTTTCATTTGATAACTCCACCTGGAAATATAATAACCCAATCTGGATGTGAGATAGCCCTCTTAGATAACAACTTAACCCCCCCTCCTCCTCCTGCCTGTATGTTAAATTTATAAGCCTTTGATAAAAATTATGGTAAATATTTTACGCCTCATCAACACAGTGTAGATTTTAGGAGATAGGCTGCTTTTACCCCGTCGGTTAGGGTAAAATCCGGGCTGAGTGGGAAACAGCATCCTAGCAGACAGGCAGAGGTAGTAAATGAGATAACTTTCCCTCCAAAGAATTGAACACGTTCTCTGAATGTTATAGCGAAGAGTCTAAGCATTACTCCACAGATGCCTGTTGTAATAATAAAGTCTTCTAGCAAAACAAGAAATCCCCTCCTAAAAGTTTTCTCTAATATGATTACTGATCCAAATACTTTAGCTATAAATAGACATTTTGCAGCCTCAGGATGTGCCATGGTGCTGTTTACAGCATTTTCCTTTTCCTTTCTTTTTTTAAACTACTGTATATATATTTTTTAAATTGTAAAAATACTTATATAATTTTTCCTTTTTTAAGATTTTTAATAGCTCGCCTTTTACATTTAAAGTGGGTTAGTTTCATTTTCAGTGATATTTTGGATGTGTGAACAGCTTGTATGACTCATGTGTTGTTGGCGTGTTTCAGGTGTGGGTGCAGAAGGCTAAATCTCAAACTGAGACCAATAGTGCTGACTCGTCAAAGAAGAGAAAAGCTTCAACAGACGACGTCAGCAAACAGGAAGACACAAACTCTACCACTTTGCTGAAGAAGCACAAGTCTGGGGAGTCAGCAGCCGACAAAAAAACTCCCCTCTCTCAAACAACCAATGCAAAACTGGCAAAATTTGCCAAGACTGATTAGTTTTTGTTTGTTGTTGATCTGTGTGTGTGCAGCACATCCATGCTTGTAAATATGTGTATATGACTGTAACTGAATTTTTAGTTTCACCTTTCAGTTTGTGCCCGTATATCTCGAAACTGTTCTGAGCTGTGAAATAAACACGCTTGTGATTGGGAAGGCCTTAAAATATACTTGATGACTATCTAATTTTTTGTTCAATATAATTTACGCCTGGTGTTTAAAATTACATTGTTACTGCACAGCATAGTTCCACAATTTCATTGTCAGTTCATTTATTTGTTCTTCTCTCACTCTCACAGGATGATGGTTTCTGTAACGGGATCTATAGTTCAGGACCTAGGTGAAAATCCAGTTCTCTGGTCCTTTTCAATTTATGAACTTATGGAAAAATTTAGTATCAACAGTTATTTTTCTGTCTCAGTCCATCACATAATCAATGGAAACATGGAAATGTCTTGATTGATCATTGACTGCTTTTGAAACACACAAGCAGACCTCTATGTTTTGAGCAAGTTTGTAGAATTTTTGTATTACGATTTACCAATTCTTAGTCATGAAACTACTGTGTTAATCTTTTCTAACAATTTTCGTCTTTGTTTTGTAACAATAATTCACTCCCCCGCTGGGCAGTGCCACTGACTGAAGTGTCTTTAGGCCATTCCCAAAGGGGGGACATTTCTCGTTCATGCACAGTAGAATTGTAAATGGGCTGATTCGTCAATGTCACGCTCATAACTGTGCCTGATCTACAATAGGGAACTGCTACTTTTTCTTTCCTAATCCTTACTATTGTCATTTTCCTCTACTTCTTTTGTATGTTTGTCACTCTCTTGTGACCCGCTATTTCCGGGGTGCCTTGATAGATGAAGCAGACTTTGTGCTGTTGAAGCTAGAGAGGTGAGCAGAGTACGTCTGATTCCCTGTAAGGATTTCTCTGTTGACATCCACCCCTTGCCGCTCATATGACCTTATGCAGTTGCTAACGCCGTAAAACCTCTACTAAAACAAAACAATAAATTACAACCATGCAGTTGGTTTTCCACGTCTGTTTTGTTTTGGTTCATTTTTTAAAAAAAGTCAGAGTATGATTTTTTAATGTTCCTGAAACGGTACACTATTTCTAAGCCTATCATTTGTTTTATTAAGTTTGTGAAAGCAAAACAAACGTGTACTTTTGTTGTCACAGACTTTGTGTGCTCTGGGGGCTCCTATCTGTGCAGAGCTAACAGAACCTAAAGCAATGGGAATGTGTACAAAATAATGGATGTATAGCAGCCCAGCGTAAAACAAAATATGCAACATTTGTTTCTAATCTGCAGTTCCAGGTCATTCTGATTTCTGTATGGTTGTATAATATTACAATTCATTACTTAAGAAGACAAAAGATTTCAGTAGTGGATCACAGTAAACTCAATTGTTTGAGCTTATCACTACAGGGAGGTGTGTGCCACGGCTCTCTGTTCTTATCCTTTTCAACTGTCATAACATGACCATTGTCATTGTGCTCATTTTTCTCTCTAGACTCAAGAACTGAGCTCTTGTTGACTGTAAGACAAATTATAAACAATCAATGATTTTGTTTTTGTTCTAATGTGCTTTCTCTTGTGTATATTCGCCCTGTTTCATCAGACTGGTTTAATCCTCCTTTGAAAGCACAGGCAAATCTTCCAAATTGATTCTTTGATAGAAGTGTGCTGAACCCTTAAAGTTAATTCTGATGAGCAAAAGTTAATTCTAATATATAAACGTGTGTATCTTGACTTAATGTTGCTCAGATTTCTCGAATGTACACTTGAAGCATTTTGGTTTTCTTTCCCCTGAGGTCTCTGAGTTGTCAACACAAATAAATATTGAGGTAAACTTCACCCTCTCAACTTGTTTTCTTTTCACGCATTTGTACATGTACAATGTCTGACTATACGAATTGTCTTCAGTTTGTGTGGAAGGGGAGGGGTAACATCATATGTGTAGATTGTACTTCGTTCTACACATAATACCTAAATGAAGTTATTTTTACAATTTTGCCCTCTTTTGGTCCATGTTTGTGGTTTGATGCTGAGATTCTTTGACATTGCATGCTGAAGGTGTGAGTTTGATTCATGTGTGTGGGATTCATTTTCTCAAATAATCTGTCTTTCTGGTGGGATGTTGTATTCCGCTCAGCCTGGGTTGGCCCTGACACAGGCACGGTTGAAGCACCCCGCCTCCTAAAATGGTCTAAATTATGTCTGTGGGGGTGATTTATATCCTCTTTTAAACTGAGTGTGTGGGTTGTCGGCAGGTGCTCTGGTGTGGTTTGCTCCTTCTTTCCTATAATCAACATTTTCTTACTTATCTCCTCCATTTTTGTGTTTGTTTACTCTCTGAAAAGTCTCTTGCAACACCTCATTTTCGGCACTTAAATATAACCTTAACAGATGTATGAGCAGTATTTTAAGAATTAAGTGGCAGGATAGAATAAGAAATGAAGAGCTGTGGGAAAGGACCGGACAAAAGGATATAGAAGTAGAAATAGGACTTAAAAAGTGGCGATTGATAAGACATACCTTAAGAAAGCCCAGCGGAAACATCACAAGACAGTCACTGCAGTGGAACCCACAAGGAGCACGAGGCAGGGGCAGGCCACTGGAAACATGGAAGAGATGCGTGGAAAGGAACATGAGAGTGATAGAGATGAAGCTAGCTTGGAAGGATGGCGCAGGACAGAGATAAATGGAAGAAGCTTGTATGTAGCCTATACCCTGCCAGGGGTGAAAGGCATTGATGATGATGATGAAATATAACCTTATTGCATTGCAAGTGCCGTAAAACTTTTACTAAATCTAAAAATCAACTGAGTGTGCAGCATGAGCTTGGCTCATCAGATGATGTGATTCAGCCTGATCATTCAACACAAACAGTGACCACATGGATGTGTTGTTTCTAACTATCAGCATTTTCCTGCGTTCCTGCTCCTGTGAAATATATTATATAGGCCTGATTAATATAGCCTCCACCAACCCCAACCCTTCCCCACTCCTGATGGGATCATGAGTCTTGATTTTCCCATGTCTAATGGTCACATGCATTGGTAAATTATGGCTGAGACTGAAACGGGGATCATTAGAAATAGTGCAGTGGTTTTTGAAGCTTTGTTTCATAAAACAAAAGACTCGTGGATGGTTGGCGGGTGCTCTGGTGTGGTTTGCTCTTTCTTTCCTACTTTCCTATCGAACTCAAACATCTATCATCCTTATCTCACCTCCTATTTTGTTTTTTATTCTCTTGTAACATCTCGAACATTTATGTGACTTTATTGTGTAGCAAGGGGTATTCCACAAAGCAAAGACTGCTCGATGACATGGATAGAGGGAGAGAGAGGTACACATAGTAAATGCATACAATATGATAATATATAATAATTATAATAATATACATGCATTCCGCATATTTTATGTAGCACTCAACCCCGATTGAAGTACACAGCCTCTGAGTGCTTAGAGAGAAAAGAAAGGTACACAGATACCATGTATTGTTTTGTTTTGGTAAGTGTTTTACGGTGCTCATATGAGCGTGTGGGACACTTTACACATTTTCAGTTTGGTTAGAATTAATTGTGAATTTTGATCCCGGGTGGCGGCGAAGCGCTTTTCCCTTTCGTCAACCCGCAGCCACCTCCCGAATCGTCAGCCACCCCCAACCTTTGACACGGGTCAAACTTCCATCTATTTATAGGTAGTTAAATCTACCGGAACATGTATTAGGCGAAGTGATGTGCAATGATAGTCGCAATAGAGAGATTGTTTTGGTCTCTCTTTACTCATCTGCACCACACGAATTTAATTGATGTTTTTCCCTGGACTCTGCCTTTACTAAAGTTTCGAATCTAGATCTAGTTGTAATCTAATTGCAGGTTGCAGATTTAATAAATTGCCGACAGAGAGAGAGAGAGAGAGAGAGAGAGAGAGAGAGAGAGAGAGAGAGAGAAAAGGGGGAGGAGTAGATCTTGCGAGAACTTTCGGGCAAAACGAAATGGTGACCCGCGTAGTTCGGTCGATTCGAAAAGTGAAAGAGCCATAGCATCTTTGTAGACGATCAAATTAGCTTACTTTTGTGCTATAACGTCATTTTTTTTCTTTGCCTTTGTCAATTTGATCATCCACACCGATAGAAAGCATTTCGAAATTAGGAAAAACAGGTCTTGTTTCACACTGGGTGAGAATAGCCAACGCTGGCAAGTCTCACCCGGGGTGAGAGGTCAATCGTAGGGTTTTTATTCTCACCCCGGGCGAGGATAGCAATAGCCACTTCCTTACTTAAATGATTAGGTGATTAAACTTGATCTCTTATTGACAATATAAAAGTCAATTTAAGCATCATTTCGTTAGAAAACAATGTGTTAGGTTTGCTAACTTCATAGACTTTGTGTTAAACAACACTTTCAACAAAACGAATCCTTACAAGCCTAGGCTTGGCCTTTGTAATCTCGAAGGTTTAGAAGTAGAAGAAGAAGAGTCTACTACTAGATCTAGAGTCTAGTCCAATTTATTTAATCTCTGGAATGTACTGGATAACAACAGAAATCTGCAACCTGCCACTAGATTACAACTCTAGATCTAGATCTAGATCTAGATTCGAGATTTTAGCAAAGGCAGAGTCCAGGGAAAAACTTCAAGAAATTCTCGTGGTGATGAGTAAAGAGAGACCAAAACAATCTCAATAAATAATATATCGCGACTATCACGGCACATCACTTCACCTATACATGTTCCGGTAACTACCTATAAATAGATGGAAGTTTGACCCGTGTCAAAGGTTGGGGGTGGCTGACGATTGGGAGGTGGCTGCGGGTTGACGAAAGGGAAAAGCGCGGCGGCGAAGCCTACTCCTTATCAGTTTTGAAACGCCAGGGGATCTTTAATGTGCGCAACTTGCACACGGGACTTTCGAGATTTTTCGATCTTATCCGAGAATGTTAAGTTTTCGATCTTACCTACCCTAAGGTCAGGAGTGTGACTGAAAAACAGCAATAAGGAGCCAAGACGTAGCAGTAGAAAGGCTGCAGAAAGAGTCGGGAGCCCAGAGGAGGGGCTAGGGACAGAAAGTGGAGACGAAAGCAAACAGAACATGGTAGAGCAGGAATGGGGGTGAAAGAAAAATTTCCGTCGCTGTCAGGTTTCGAACCCGGGACATATTGAATAAAAGGCTAATTACACCCCTAGACCACGAGAGACTCCATGTATAGGTTATAATCTAACGACATTTGGGTAATACATAATATATATCATGTATTTAGCATAATTTCATAAACCAGTAACTTGCATATATATAAACACAAAGAGAGGAGAGGAAGAATTTGATTTAACGATTGATAGATAGAGAGATCTGGAGAGACAGGCGAATGGGGACCATCATGCTTGTACCCTTGGAGTTAGAGCCAACAGTGGCTCCTGGCGGCTTAGATCCTAAAGGCTGAACACGCGGTACCATTGTTGTGGTAGTGTGAGCCTACAGAAAGAGTTCATGGACATGACTATTGACATCAAACGAAAACACAAAAACAGGTGTGGAAAAACAGGGGGGGGGGGGGGGGGGGGTTAGTCCGATTAGGTCTACAGCAACGTGTCCATTTAACAAACCTCCATGTGTGCAATCTGAGTGACAGCGTGGTGTTGTTTTGAGTCATAAAAACAACCCTGACTCACACTGCTGTCCTCTTTAAGCTGACAGTGTGCAGCCAGAAAAATGAATTAAATTAAAATTTAATAACTGTCTGGGTGCCAAGCGTGTCTAAGTTTAAAGCACCGACAAGGTCTTGTTCATTGATCATCAACCACAGACGGATTTGTGTTCTTTCTTTCTTGGTTTACACTACCCGTCAAGTAGCAGTTCGAGATGAAGATTCCAATTTTGTTTATCCTGACCGCTGCTGCCTGCACCACACTTGTGGAAATGACCCAGTTTCGGCATTGTAATAGTAAGCAACGAATCTTCTGAACAAAAACCGTTTTACGTTTCTTTCGAAAGTGGATGCTAATTTTGGAGATTCTGCAACTAAAATAACAGTGCAGCATAAATCCACACCATACCACACCATACCATACCATGCTATACCATGCCATGCCATGCTAATCAATAGGACAGTTAGCTGTTGGTTGTTGTTTTGTTTTTTCCCCAGTAAATTTGGTTTCTTACGATAGAAGGCTGAACCGACCTTTGGTTTTGAGGACACTAAAAATCTTTCTCCCCTGGCTAGCTGCATTTTCAGGAACAAAGACTAAACGTATAGCCTAACTGGTCTATTTATACGTTTGTAAAATCTCCCTTTTTTCTGTCCTACCTGTTTGCCCTCGTTCACCTCGTCTTTATTTTCTTCCTTCTCTCCCCACAACCCCCCCCCCCCTTAATTTTTTCGTGAAACGGGCCATATTCTTCGCCTTCGAAATGACCTATCTGGCTATTCATTGACCTGCTGACCAAAACCACAATCATAAAATGAAGTCTAATCTAGACATAACCTAGAGGTGGCCTATGACCTAACTTACAAAGGGCAATGTTCAACAGGATGGTATAGGTATAGGCATACGCTGTATTTTACTGTTCGAATACATGTACATGTAGTTACTTTTCATTTTTTGCCAAATATTTTACCACAACCTACGACATGCAAATGCCTGTGCACGATTTTCCTGACACTGTAACGGCCAGTAAAGTACGTGTAGTATACCCCCCCCCCCCCCCCGGGGGAAGTGCCACTAACTGAAGTGTCTTTAGGCCATTCCCAAAGGGGGGGGGGGCTTTTCTCGTTCTAATGCATAATAAAATTGTAAATGGGCTGATCTAACAATGTCATGCTCATAACTGTACCTGGACTACAACAGGAAACTGCTACTTTTTCTTTCCTAATCCGGTCGTCATTTTCCTCTACTTTTTTTGTATGTTTATCACTCTCTTGTGACCCGCTATTTCCGGGATGCCTTGAATGTCGAAACAGACTTTGTGCTGTTGAAGCTAGAGAGGAAAACAGAGTAAATCTGATTCCCTGTAAAGACTTCTCTGTTGACATCCACCCCTTGGCGCTCATATGACCGTATGCAGTTGCGAGCGCCGTAAAACCTCTACTATTAAAAAATACATGTACATGTAGTCTTCTTCTTCTTCTTCTTCTTCTCGATGGCATCACACTTGAAGTCTGGTATCTGTCTTAAATTGGGCCGTCCTGCTCAGTTCATCTGTCGGCCCGTATAGCTTCTCTTGTAGTGTCAGTGGGGTTGGCCACGTTTCCTGTCTCGGGGCCCTGTGTGTCTTGGAGTGCTGAAGGATGTGTTCAACAGTTTAGTCCGCCTCTCCACACTGGCATTTTGGTGATTGTATTTGTTTAAAACATTTGTACATAATATGTTGTCTCAGTCTTGTGAGTTGGGTTCTTAGTCGGAAGATAATCACTTGTTCTTGGCGGGACAGTTCATGGTAGCTATCTGGTGTCTGTGGTGCTTTAATATATAGGGTATTTATGATAGTTTTAATTTCTGTGTAGTTAACGCTTTTGTCTGTTTGTTCTTTCTGTGCTCCTAGTTTGGCTATCCTGTCAGCCTGCTCATTTCCTAAGACACCACGGTGTGATGGAATCCACTGCTGCGTGATCCTCAGTCATGGGATGTCCCCAATTACTTTTCGTAGTCTTGGTACTTTGCCGGCAGTGATTGCCTGCAGTACTGACATGGCATCAGTTAGGAATACTGATTGGCTTTGGGGGTCTACCATATTCTTTATGATGTTTGCTGTATGTATTAGAGCCTCTGTCTCTGCCCTGTATGTAGTTTGTACAATGTCGCCCTGTTGGGACTGCCTCTGCTTGTCGTCGTCCATTTGGGAACTGTACATACACTCCGGCTCCTCCTCTTTTCACAGCATCGGTGGCAGATCCGTCCGTATAGATCCTTATCCATGCTTCTCGGGGGTAGGCCTATCTTTCTTCAAGCATGGGCAGGGTGAGGGATTCTTGCTCAGGTCACTGTTGTCATCTTTTGTGGTGAACGTAGGAATGGACATGTGTATAATTATGTTTGTGTTTTCCTTTTCCCATGATGGTGCATCTGGGGTATGGTTCAGCATGTTCACTGTGCCTGGTAAATGGTCCTGTGGGGATCTTTGGATTTTTCTGCTTTCTTTGATGAAGTTGGATCTTTTAAGTCTTGTGGTGTTTGATCTGGCTGTTCTTGTGTGCGTTATATGATCCCCCATAGCTGTGGCCTTGGTGTAGTGTATGAGGGCCTTGCACTCCCATCTCCTGTGCAGAGCCACTATAGATGTTGTTTGTTCCATCTTTTCTGTAGGCGTTGGCCTCATTGCTCCAGTGATTATTCGGAGAACTTGGTTTTGCTCTTTTTTTCAGAGTGTATTTGTGAGTCTGTGCTGCAGTCATCCATGCACTAGATCCGTACACAAGATAGGGCCTGATTGCGCCCAGATAGATCTGTCTAAACGTTTTCTCATTCGCTCCCCACTGTGTCCCTGCAAGATACATGTAGTTACTTTTCATTTTTTGCCAAATATTTTACCACATCCAATGACATGCAAATGCCTTGCACGATTTTCCTGACACTGTAACTGTCAGTAAAAATCGTGTAGTATTCAGATCGCCACACATACAAACCTAACTACAAGCGGACACGTCGATGAAAGCACACGAGGGCACACGACACATCGTCCTGTAATTACCCACTACAAGACGTCTCACTGCTACTTTGTTTCTTTTGCGAAGGAAGCAATAAAGTCACTGGTGAGGCCTATGGAGAGAACTCCTCAGCCTCCTCCGTGCCTCGCAATACTGGAGTAAGGAGTAAATTTTACTAAGTATACGACAGGCTATTTGGTCGCTTTTTAAGGTCAAGCGGGCTATCCCAGATTTCGGGTTGTTGGTTTTTTTTTTAGAAATCTTGACCTTCACCAAAAGTGGGCATTGTCCTACCTCTAGGCAAAGTTTGGTTTCATTGGTGTTTATATTTGTTTGGTTATAGAGAAAACTCTTCTTGTCTTTTAAAGAAACTGAAGATTGGTCCAAAAACTTTACCTTCGATTTTCTCAAAACAACATTTTTCGGGATAGCCCCGGTGTGCTTAAAATAAAAGTGACCATTCTCCTTCCCTGCCAGTTTTGCCATCAAAGTCCTCAGCAGCACACGATTTCCCCATAACCTGTTTTACCTATTTAAATAAAATAAATACTACATTGCGTAGAAATGAATGAACTGTCCAAGCCGTAAACTTTGCAGCTTGATAAACAATATGAATTCGGCTGAGGTCTAGAAGAGGCAGATGTTTGTCACGACTGTAAACAACCGTTGTGATGCCGTGAGCCAGCTGAACTGGCGCGCCGTAAACTAAGAGCTAAATAAATCTGTTGTCCTCATCTCTTCTCCTTCTTCTCTCTGTGCTATGTTTCTCTCATAATTATGACCTCTAATCTTACTAAGGCACTTTTATGACATATTTGTGTTGCAAGTGCCATAAACCTCTTTCCAAAACTAAACTAAACAGTCCTCCCCTGAACCCCTCTTTTGCATAAAAATGTTCCCCACTTACAGGGGCGTGGCGTGACTTTCAGAGAAGGTGGCGCCAAGAACAAATTTATCACAACAAATAGTATTGCCTACTTATTACAGGGCTATAAAC